GCGTAGAGTAGAAGCAGAGCAGTACCTTGCTAGATTATGCCTAAAATCATGGGCTTTCAGGGGGGGTAGCATTTACATCCACAAACAACTACGGGTTGGCTTTCACTCGGGTTTAGGGTTTGCTTGAGAGGTAAGGTGGAAGCAGTCATCAGGGGGTGTTTGAGGAAACAGCTGATGAGAAGAGTCATCTCTGCCGCAATAAACCCCGATTAATAATCTCCTTCATCTTAAGGAGGCTTGCAAGGCAGTACCCGTAGCGCTTCGAGCTGGGACTGAGATAGATCGAGGGCTGGATGTGTGCAGGTCTTCAGGATGCTCAGGTTGTAAGCTAGGTTTGGAAGTAGAAAACGGGTCTCCTAGCGGCAGGTGCAGTCATTTGTGCACAGATCCGAGCCCTGTGCCATCGAGCGGTTTGTCAAGCAGGCCCTGCGGTTGACTTGTGGGAAGTAAGCCGAGCTCAAGAAAGCAGTTGCCAGGCTGTGGAATCCACGAACCAGGCCGGGTTCGGAGCCTTCGTATACCTCCAGCTCTGCCAAGTCTTGCCAGACTGCTTGGCATCTGAGGCGGTCCTCAAGGAGAGCCGGGCTGTGGGTGAGGAGGAGATTCGAGTGCAGATCCAGGAGACGTGCTGGGGTAGGCAGCAGCTCCGCTTCTCGTAAGGTCGGGGTGATCTGGGGCGAAGGACCGCGCAGAGACGCTGAGGCAGCAGCGGCTGGCCGCAGCGGCTGCGCAGGGTTCGCTCTCAGGTGCACAGCCACAATCAGCACTGTTCCTCACAGCTACCTCTGCCATCCCCTGCCTTGTCTCAGGCCCGCCGACAGAACGCGCAGACAGCCTTGCGAAGCGAGAGCTGGCCGTGCACTCAGATGCCATTTCGAAGGAGTCGCAGAGGCAAAATCTTCCCTTAAACATAACGACGGCCAGGACCTGTTGGACGAGCCACGTGCTCCTGCTGCAGCAAGTATGGCGGAGGCGAGTCTGCAGAATCATTCTTCGAGCACATTGGGGGGTGGGGGGTCGCGCTTTCGGTATGATCTTTGCTCTGAGTTCGTCTTCTGTTCTGTTAGTGACGTTGTCGATGAAAAGAAGCATGTTGTGCAGGTGGGTGTGAGGCATGCTACAAGGCACACATGCGGAAAAGGCACAGGCAACCCTTGATCGCCTGTCGAGTCCGAACAGGGTCCGGATCATGAGCCGGGAATGTGTTGTGGCAAAGCAGCGGGGCAGGTGTTTCAAGCCAGAAAGAAGACTTTTGAGAGCCACGGAGCCGCGGCAAAGCCCCATTCGGCCACAGGCCATTCCCCCGACCGCCTTTCAAGCGGAGGAGGCCGAGGCGGGGAATTTCAATCCGGGCTCCAGCTCAATCCCAGACCCGAAGTTCCAAGATTCTGCAGGCCCCACGCAGAGGCCGAGGCCGCCTTCCTTGGGCGACAGAATGGTCGAACTTGAGTCATTGCAACCTGCCCGAAAGGTGCGCGAGGAGGCCGAGGTAGCCGAGGAGCGTGTTCCCTCTTGATCCTTCGATCTGTGTACAAGCTGCAATGCAGGAGGACGAGGCCGTGGCTCCAAGCGGTCGCAAGACGACTTCGACCTGGCACCAACCCCGGCAAAGCAGCCGCGAATCGCTCGTGGCGATGCGCGTGTGGCTGCTTCCCAAGCTTCACCCCAAGCATCCCAGGCGCCACCCGCCCCGCCTTGTGCGCCCACCGCAGCTCAAGCCTCCACAGCCACAGTGCCGCCCGCAGCGGCCACGCCCTTCCTACCGAGAAGGGCCGGGGCAGTGGCAGACGCTGCCGAGAGCTTCCTCGGGGCATCCCAGCATGTGTCTCAGGCCCAACTCCAACCCCCTCCCAAGAGACAGTGGGCCCTGAAAAAAGGGTCCTAGTTTCAGTCTTTCTATTTTGCCGGATGCTTCTTCCTCAGTGCATCTGGGGAATGTACAAAGACCGAAGCATCCTTTAGGCTTTGGACTTGGGCCTGTGAGGCTCCTCGGATTTTGGTTGGGCTTCAGGTCGTCCATAATCGCAGGTGGCTCTTAGAGCTTAGCTGGATATGCCATGCTGCCAAGCCCTTCAGAAAAAGAAGTGCAGTGCATTGTAACATTGACATGATGTTGTTCAGGCATGTTCAGGCATCACTCGCCGTTCAGCTTGGCGCTCAAGCCCGGATGGCCATCTGCCAGACATGGCATGACTTGCCATGCCATTCCATGATACGCCATGCCCATGCGCAAGCAAGCTCAAAGTCTTTACGGAGCAGTCTATGCCGTGGTATTGCAGTCGCGTTGTCTTGCGGGCATCACCGCAAGTGCATGCTGTCCGTTGAGGACAGTCTGTGTGCCAAGCAGCTTGTCATGGCATGCCGTGCTTGAGTCTGCTTACGTCTGCTTGAGCTTTTGGTGCGTAGAGGACTTTGTATCCGAACTCAGTGCCGACCATCCCGAGGATGCAGAGGAGAGTGCTTGCGCAGTGCAAGCAGTGACCAGGGCGCGGGGATAGAAGCTGGTGTCAGAGGATCTGGGTGAGGCACTACAGGTGCGGAACCTGGCCTATCTTTCAGCTGCAGCCTCTCCTGCGATGCTGCTAAGGTGCTAAGGCAGCAGAAGATCAACAGTTTGGAGCGCCTGGCGAAGCTGACAGATGGCCAGACAGACCCTGAGCATCCTCACCACTGTCTGCGCACCCCACTGTGACTTCCCTGGCGGCCTAAAGGCACTAATCAGGTAAGTCCCGATCCTGACGGGTGAGCCTCAACGTGTTGGGAGCTACCTGCGGTATACAGTAGCTGTAGGCTCGTGGCCGAATCCAGGCCTGTTAGTTGGCAGCCCAAGTAAAGCAGAATGCAACCTGCACCTTCCTCCGTCCCCTCCTGATTTCGCCAAGGTGGCAGCGCTTGGGCATTCCACTGGGCATCGAAGCCCTGCTGAAGGAAGAGGCGGAGGCGATCGGGGACCTTTTGTTGCCAAATCCGATAACACCGCCGCAGTCATCCCTGAGAATCGCACGGTGGCACTCTGTGTGCGTGCGTGTGTGTGTGTGTGTATCTGGAGCTGATCTGACTTCGAAGTAGTCTCCTCGGTCAGCCCAACCTTCATCCCAGAATTTATGACTTTCCTGGCCATTAGACGTAGAGCCAGAGAGTGTAGCCTCAGGCAACCCTTGCTTCGGCCTCTACGAGCTGCCCGGAAGAAAATGCATTTCTGTGAGGATCATTCCTGGATTCAGTGAAGTAGAAAGGTATATGAAAGGTGTGTAAAAAAACTCATGTCTTTTTCATGGGCCCCTTCGGCAGCCAAAGATCTCGGCGACCCGAGTGTCCCAGGCGCAGATCCCGGACCGGCCTGGAGCCAAGTCGAAGTGTGGGAATGTGTGGACTACTGACCTGCATCTTTTCACCGACGAGCGTTTGGCTCATGCAAGGGATTCCGAAGCTGGCAAGGAGCAAACTCAGCAGGAAAGGCTAAGCACTAAGCCACTGCGGCATTCAGAGACTCCTGGCTCATTGATGTTGGCCCGTTGGCTATGGCTCCTGTGGCATGCCCGAGCCCGAGCGCAGGCAAGGGGTCTGGTAGGTGATATGATGGTGAAGATGCTTTGAGGGGCGTCTTAGGAGAGACGCCCTGTGCCCCGTGCCTTGGGCGCAGGACCCGAGCTGCTGGGATGCCCAGTTCACGGCAGAACTCTGTTGCGACCTTCAGTTTGGTCCAACAGGCCAGTGATGCATCAGGCTTGTGAAAAGCAGTTTCTCGTAGACCCTGCCAGGCAACGAGGGCTGCTGGGATTCGGTTCACACCTTTGCGCGCTGTTGCGGAGAACCGAAGCAAGTACAGGAGGAGGTGCGAGGCGTTTCCAAAAATGTGAGTGGAGCAAAATCAGCGTGTTCCCAGTTTGCCTCGAGCCAACAGGACTGCCGAGATTCCAAGAGCTTCGACTCTGAGTCCTGCTGCGACCTTCTCAAAGGCGATCGCGGTGACGAGGCTCTGTCGGCCTCGTGCGCAGCCATGAGTCGTGACTCCCCCTGGGACTCCCTGGGACTCTTTGGTTCTTCTGCCAGGCCTGTTGGACTGGCGTGACTTGCAGCAGTCAGAGTTGATCAAGAGCATAGCAGCTGCCGGGCCGCCGTGCCTTGAAGTTGTCGATACCAGGGTAAGTGTGTTTCTCATACTTGAGTCAGCAGCTTTGTCCTGCGCGTGCTCCATTCTCTGTGTCGACAGAGCAGCTAGGTAGCTAGGCTAGCAGCAGGCCCGCAGCAACGTTGAATCTTGATCGCCCAGCTCTCCTGCATACCAATCATGGGGATAGCAGCCAAGTCGAACAACTTCGAGAACTGCTGCGACAGCAAGCTCGCGCACAACACGAGAGAGATGGAAGCCGCGCCGGTCTTCGGTGCCTTGTTGCAACCCAGAGCCCGCCAGCGCTTCTCGACGATGAGTGCGTGTAATCATGTTCGTTCAAATTTCGTCCCTCTTTCACATGACTCATACCGCCGCGTGAAGGGGACCCGTGTCGTGTCATGCCAAAACCCATGCTTCTAGAAGGAACGCACTCCTCTTCGGCTACTTTGCGTGCCTTTCGCTCGCGAGGCATCTTTCCTGCTACGATGCATCCCCACGCCCTTGCCCAACACATCATCTCTTGCGGGAACATCTAGTTATTCCAGCTCACGAGCTAGTTTTCGGTTTGCTCAAGCCCTGAATGCCAGAGATGGACAGGTGAGGATGGGCTGAACTGAAAAATGCGCGAAGGGCCCGAGCATTTTTTTGGCTTGGTGTTGTGAATCCAAATGAATACAAACCAGGGTCAGCGCTTGCTCAGCTGGTCGGCGGAATTTGCTTCCAGCAGGTGCCGGATGCTGGGACCATGAAGAACACATCACCTGGCCAATGTGCTGTGGCAGTCGACATGATGAGTCTCTCTCTACCAACTTCAGCATTTACTTTCCTTGCGCATCTGTGTCCGGGACTGCTTCCTATGCCCTTCATGTAGGCCATTTGCTCGAGTACTGAGGCTTATGCAGCGCACCTGTTGGTCGGGAGAGTTCACGTACGACCGGTGCTGCGATGGCTTAGTTCCTATTCCCAGGAGAGGAGCTCGCACACGAAGATTTTTTCAGTTTTTGTCCTCGGAGGTGGTGTGGATGTCGGATGGCATGATGTGATGATGTTGATGTCTTTGCTTGTCGTGAAGTTGCATGGCATGATGTGCGGTTCTCGATCGGTTGTCCCGTAGGTTTTCGTGAGGTTGTTTGTTGTCTCTTGCCCGTTGAATATTTACGGGCTGCCGCCAGTGCC